ACCTGTCGAAGGCACTTGGCCGACTCCGACTCGTTATCCTGCGGCGCGGACACGTTTTGTTCAATCCTAAAAAGATGCTTGAAAAAAAACTACAGTCGCTCGGAGCAGCTCTATTTTAAAAGACTAAACTCACCCGCTGTACTGATTTTTCGAGTAATGTCTTTCTAAGCGATCACGTGCAATATCCGTATACGTTTTTGGCAAGTGCCTGACTGAAGTTACCAAAGGTCAGTGGTTCCGTAGAGATCCGAAGAGAACTCTCATTTGTACCAGACGCTGGTCAGCCTTATATTGATCCACGTCCACTGCTGGTTTTGCTTTTTAGTACTTGTTATTATATCCAGGGTTTTAGCAACTTATCTTGTGCCTAGCATTTTCACCTCAGTTAAGTTAATTTCACTGACTGATATTATGGCATTCTGGTCTAAGCACGCAAGAATGGAGGAGACATGCGGTCATACCGTCGATAAGAGACCACCTGTGGCTGCAATTCATACTGATGCACCTGATTGCTGAATGAAGGAATGAATCGACTATTCAATGTAATAATCAGCACAATGCGTAATCTTAATTTTGGTGGTTATAGGCAAAAAGAAAATTCAAAATCAAAACAGTTCATGCTTACCTGGCATCTAAAACAACAGTTCCATTGTTCATAACTGCGACACGACAGAGTGGAGACAAAAATATTGTATTGAATGATAAACGTTTTATTTTAAAATAAAACATGATATGAAATGCATAAGTAGAGTAAAATACTTTCTTACTATTGCACATGGTGCAATAGTATGGTTTCGGCTAATGCTACTAGCCTTTATGAACTCTGAAAGATGTAGCTAAATATACACAAATATGCTTAAATGGAAACCCCTCTACATTGACTCTAAATAGAATCTGTTGAAAGTGAGTTTTCCTTCCGTCTATGACTATTAAATCAAAATTTCCTTCTTCTAGAAGACTTTCCGTCAAATAATTTTACATGCAAAAGTAAGATATAATATAATTTTTATATTTTGGGATAGTGACGACGAATTGCCATTACGAGTCTGCTGTTATGACCAAGTTATACAATCTTCCATCCGATGCACTGAAGACACTTAAATACCATGGAGTTGCTGGCGGCTTAAAGTGTCCCAATGGAGATCAGGGGCTGACGGAAAATGCATCTTCGCAGCGTAAATTCGTATCGGTGAAAAAATTACAAAATAAGTTTATATTCTTCCTCTGCGTATTACAACAACTCTTCAGCTGTTACAATTTACCGATGGAATT